ATGTTTGTAGGCATGGTTTGTATTAAGATCTAATGTCTGCTGGTTTGAATATGTGGAAAAAAGTCAACAATTTCCATGGGGTATACATACATTTTTACACGACTAAATACTGTTTTGTAAATATATTCTATAATCACATTTATTTTACCATGTTTCACGTAAAGGTATGCGGTCATTAGAAAATTCTTCTTGAACGATATCCTAACCAAAGGACAAAAATATAATATATTGCATTGCAGCATGCCAGTTCTTAGATGTGGTGGCTGCATTCCTCTTAATTATTTGGGGCTTATACCTTTTCCAGCAAGTACAGAAAATTCCTGCTGATCTTGCCAGAAAAGTGATGCCCTTGTCACTTCCTGTATTTTCTGCCTTCCAAGTTGTCTTCTGTAAACTACTAATAACCATCTCAATATGTAATGAGGATGAATAGAGGACAATTGGATTTTTTCTGCATACTTACCTGTAAAATCCATTTCTTGGAGTACACCACGGTACACAGAGCAAGCTATTCATGACAGTTAGAGTTATATGACACTTATAGGTGAATGGACACTGGCTGACAAATCAGAGAGGAAGTCCTCCCCTATATAACCCCTCCTACACAGGAAGTACTTCAGTTTTTTTGTAGCAAGCAATGAACTTCCAGAAAGAGGGGAGGGACCTCTGTGTCATACATCACTGGACAAAAACCAGGCTATTCATGACTATGTGGGACGTTCTAAAGCAATAAAGAAGTTTTGAGGGGAGGGTGACAACATGATGGCCACTCCCAATAATCCCTCAGGACCTACTCAGCCATTTGTAATACACTGTGGCCAAAAGCAGAATCCACCACAGCTCTGACATCCACCTGGTAGAACCTTGTGAATGTATGGACCTAAAACCATGTAGCGGCCTTGCAAAATTGAGCAACTGACGCCTGATGGCGGATAACCAAAAAAGCCCCCACAATCCTGGTAGGGTGGGACTTAAACCTTCAAACCATAGGCTTGAATGATTAACTGGCGGATCCAATCAAAAATAGTTGTCCTGGATGCCACCTGCCCTTTCTGGGCCCTTTTGGCAGTACAAACCAGGATTCCTGACCTGTGCCCCCAACTAAAGTAAATCCTAACCCCTCGAAGTACAACCAAAGTATGCAGCGCTCTCTCCCCTGCCGACTGTGGACTAGGAAAAAATAAAGGCAAGACACTGTCCAGATATAAGTGAAAAACAAAAAAGCATTCTAAGCACGAAAATGGATGAGGACACAACATCACCCTATCACAATGCCAAGAACGGCTCCTTACATGAAAGGGCCACCAGCTTTGATACTCTTCCTGCCGAAGTAATAGCAGCCATAGTAACCACCTTCCTAAACAAAGGATTACGTTTCTTTAACTGGTTCCAAAGGTGGCCTCCGCAAGCACAGCCAAAGTCACAAGGACACAAGGGCGGCCTGGGAGACGGGACCATCTGTGTTACACTCTGCAAGTTCCAATCAAAGAGTGAGAACAACGGTCTCTGGGAAAAAAATTAATATAGACAAAATCTGACCTTAAAAATGGTACTCAAAGTACATTTCATTTCCCCTCCCAATTGGAAAAAGGATAAAAAAAAAAAAAACCCTTACAATTTCCAACTTCTGTGGGTGCAACTTCCTGGCCTCCCACCAGGCAAACAAGATTTCCAGGTCCTGTAATGGAAGAGCCCTGACACCGGATTTCTAGCACTCAAAATACAGAAAAAACAGGACCCAAGACCCCCTGATCTAACCAGAATTGGGTTTAAAAAGCCAAGCCTTCAATCCTAGAACTCATATACAGGATACAATACTGGACCCAAGACAATAGGTCTTGGCGGACTGAAGTGTCCCTTGTCAGATACACTATGTCAGTGTATCAAGCCCTCCCGGGCTAGGCTGGGCTACCACTATTAGTGTTACCTCCTCCCGAACCCTGCACAAAAAAGACACAGCAATAGTTGAATCATGGGAAAGCATAGATTAAGGGGAACTGGTCCCTAAGGTGTTACTAGTGCATCTACCCTTATTGTCAGTGGGACTCTCGACATGGGCACAACCTGTCTAACCTTTTGTAGAACCTGGAAGTCAGTAGATCCACATTCAGAGTTCCCTAACTCTGGCAGATTGCTGAGAACATCTCGGGATGCAGAGACCATTCTCCCAGCATCAGCCGCTGACCTCTGGGGAATGCCCCCCTGCCAGTTTCCTATACCTGGAATATGTACTGTCTACAGCACATGCTGTTCTGCCCCAGACAGAATGTGGTTCACCTTTTCCTCAACCGCATGACTTCTGACGCTGCACTGGTGCCGTGGCATTGTTGGGTTGACCCTGACCACAACCAGTGCCAAGGGTTCATCCAATAATCCAGCGCACGGCGTACTGCCTGAAGTTCCAAACATTGATGGACAGTATTTCCTCCTGTGGAGACAAAAGTCCCCTGAACTGTGGCCACCTTTAAATCAGCCCCCCAACCAGGGAGACTAGCATCAATTATCAGTTACTATCTTCCATATTACTGGAAAGGAAATTACCCCTTCTCCAGATACTGAACAAACAACCATCAATTCGGACTCAGCAAAACCCCGAGGACAAAGGCCTCTGGCAATCCAATGCTTGAACCTTCATGACCAGATAGATAGAATGTTCCTCTACAAAAGACCTGGAGTGGAACCGCACAAGGGAAACAGCTTCAAATGTAGATATCATCTCCTCATGCAGAGATGTACCGAAGGATACCCATTACTTCTTACATTTCGCTTTAAGCTTGAAACCGACTGCTCCCCGAGCAAAAGGAACATTAAAGTAATATGAGATTGATACCACGCTGTGTCCTCAGCAAGCCCAACACCAGGGCTAGGAGCTTTGCAAACACTCAGAGGGCTGTGGCCAGTCCAAAGGGCAGTGCTCCACAACAATAAAATGGTGATTCTCTATTGCAATCACAGAACCCCTGAAGGGATTAAAAATTGGCACAGGAAGAAATACGTCATTAGAATTAGGGACACCCGAAATCTCTTGCAGAAAAACCGCCACTTATTGGACCGATCCTATCCATAACAGAAGAACGTCTAGACTTATGTCTAGTGCATCAAGATCTAAGATAGACCTCACACCCGTTTCAATTTCAAACGTTCCTGACATATGTTTTCATTACAGCATGTTTGGCTTTAGATAGGCGCTGGAAAAACCCAACTCTTCCATCTTTACTTGAGGTCATACAAATCTTAACCTATCTTCTGTATGAAATTTTACCATCTTCTGTATGAATTCCTAAAGCTCATCTAACTACATCTAAACTTCTCCAAACCTGGAATCCCTGGCTTCAAGACTCTAGATGTATATCTTTATTTTGAATACCTCTCATTGAATTATCCCCCTCTGTTAACACCTTTCACAGAATAGGTTACCCACTCTCATGATGTGCACTCATGATCTCCTCTTTATTCTCAAACTTTACTTACTCCTGCTATCTATAGGAATCAGAAAATATGGGGACAGCTTCTGGTTTTGCTATCTATACATACCATACCTTCTTTAGGGGTCCACTCTGGAGACCTATATTTCTATAGTTTGCAGCTTTTAAGATATTACTTATCCATCAGTATGCTCAGTGGAGCCATGGTAAGGCCTGTACTAGGTTTAATGCTCACCATGGCACCACATATTCTCATACCTTGTTGATGCATTCCTTAACAGAAAACGCTGTATTATTGTACCTGACAAATCCCATTTCATTGGATTGTGCTTATTTCTGTCTTTATCTCTTTATTAAAAAAATAATAAAGTTAAAAAAAAAAATGAGAGTGAAGTGTCAAGTTAGATTTGAAGGATTTCACTGCTTTTCTTGTGAAATTGAGAATGAATTGCTCCACCATGTGTGCAGCTTCAGAAATCAGGGCAGGCTTTAGGTGCATTGCAGTGGGCTGATTCACTTGCTGTATTTTCAGTCAGTAAAATAAAATGGTGGGGAGATCCCAGCAATATCTTTTGGCACAAAGGAACAATAAGTAAGACAATGTTATGTCACACTCGCCCTAGTGATTTCTCCTACAACCTGGAACAGACATTGCAGGAATAATGGCAGCTTTGCAGCAGGGAATTCATCAAGCAATAACCCAGCAATATAAAAATCATGTGACTATACATGACTTTTACAAGAAATCTGTCAGGAAGTGAAAAAACTTATAAGAGAAGACTTATAAAGAAGCATCTATTTTCTGATCCTGGTTTGCATACTAGTTCCTCAATTACCTAGTGAGTCTCAATATATTCAGCTTTACTACCTTAAAACTAGAGGGCAGCTAGCAAGATGCAACGTCCTAGTAACATTTGTAACATACATGTCTAGGGAAACTCCTGCCAGTAAACTCTCCCACGATTGTCTGGAGCAAAGAGAAACACCCACTACTCCTGGGTAAGGGAGAATGCAACTCTCTCTCCTTCATTCCACTATGCAGCAGTGGAATCCTAAGTGTTTTTCGTGCATCTGTGGGTGAATAGACTAGGTAAAGGACAAAAAGGAAGGGAATTATAAGCAGCAGGGGAAAAGGGGGATAGAATTTTAATGATCCTTTGTCCATGCAAGATTGCACTTTAAAGATGCTTTAGCTGTTCACAGCCAGAGCTACACTACCAATTAAATGCGCTATTTGGGCAAAAACATCCAAACATAAGCATAAGATTCCCCTGCAGCCCAGCTACTTAAAATGAGTTGGGGTTTTCGTGCAAAAAAAATCCTGTTTTCATTTTGAAGATGTCACTTTTCATTTGAAAGGCTCTTACACAGTGTCTACCGTGTAATCAGGAAATAATTTTACTTTGCTCTCCTCTTCTTCTCTATTAGGAAAGTAAAGTAGGCTGACTCTGTCCTATTGATGTGCTGTAATTGAAGCCTAGAAGACACTACCACACGTGTATCTGATAGCAGGGCAGTCATTCTTCAAACCAGCAAAACACTTGAGTGGTGAAAGGAAAGGAAAATACCACTTACTGCTTTGTGAGACACTCCTTCAGTGCTGCATTTTCATCTCGACATTTTACCACCATGAGAAAACCACTTTCTTGACAGCATTTTGTGAAAGCTAAAGATAAAAAAACCACAATAAATAGTTGGTTCATATCTGATAAATCTCCATTGCTTGTCACGCCTTTCCAATCTGAAGTGGTTAAAATGTTGCATCTGGTATTAAACCTCAGAACAAGAGGACTACACTGGGATATGTTCTGTCATACATAAAGCATAAGGTGAAGATAAGTCTTTTCTTTCACCACTTCAAAAAGCTATTGTAAACACAGCACTGATCATAAACTGAATATAATCACAGAACAAAAGTAGAGCAGATGCCCACAGAAACCAAGTAAAATCAAATATAAAACAAAAAGTTTAAACATTTTTAAGGTTAGCAAAGCAACTAATTTCAAACACTAAAATGATCAAAGTTCCCCTTTAAGTAGAATGGGGGACAGGTAAAACCTATTTAGCAGAATGGGCAAAACTGTTTCAGCTAAATGGGGAAAAGTTTTAACACCTGGCAAGTTTATTTTCGATTTGTGTTCCTGCTGGTAAGATTCTCTTTGCTTCTTATCCCATTGACAACGGTCAGGAAATAAGGTTAAAATGTCCATTCTGGTACAGTTAGTTGCCACTTTCAGCTCAATGCTGTCTCTAGCCAGATGCTGGTCAGAACATGCATGTAACAAGTAATGCCAGAGATCCAGACCTGCGTACTTGTTTTAGGCCAGTGATGCACAAAGTCAAATAACTAGTGCTACAGCCAAAGGACTAGCATTTTCAGAAGGAGGCTAGCAATTATAGATTTCCATAAGACTAATAATCTTGTTAGAATGTACAGATCATTCATGAGTTACAGCATTCCAAGCAAAATGGCATTCTGTGGAGGGGTGTGGTCCAGCGATGGTGGCTTAAAGAAGGTTCCCCATGAAGCTCTGGACCAACATGCAGCCATATTCGCCTGTTAACAGTACTGACGAAGCGACAGGGATTCTGCCTGCCAGAACATTGCTGACTTTTTTTCCAAGGCTCATGTGCCTCAGTAGACAGCAGAGAACAAACAATAATAGTGTAACTGCAACTCAGAATATATGGAGTGCTCCTCTGGCACCGGCAGATACTGAAGGTTTCCAATCCCCAAGGGAACAATGTCTATGCCCATATATTCAACACATAGTCTACTGACAAGGTAATAAATTCCCAAGTTGCCTCACAAATAAGGGAAGCTTGACTCTCCCCTTTGAACACTAAAATTTTAATCGACCCTCAAATGTTTGAAAACAAAAAAAAAAGCATCTGGCCCCAGCAGGTTCACCTTACTCTATTAACACTCGAATACACTTATACCAAACTTCCTCAGTACCTAGAACTCACTTTTAAATGGGAACACATTGCTCACCAACTTTCTGGGGGCTCATATTTCTTTCATCCCTAAAAAAGACAAATATGCCTCTCATTGTGCTACCTATTGCCCAATTTCAATGCTGAACACAGATCACCTCAGCTTATTTCATCGATGCCAAAAAAAAACCTTAGACTGGGAATTCCCAAAGCTAACCCTGAAGATAAATGGTCTTGGAGATATGAGAAAGCGGCTTAATGCCATCTACTCTCAACTCTTTTTTTTTTTTTTTTTTTTTTTAATACCAGAGTCACTCCTGCATTATATTAGAGTAAACCACATTAATGTGTTACTAAACCCACAACAGTAAAATCAGTCTGTGTAAGCTCCACGAGCAGGGCCCTCATATTCCTTCTGTACTGAAACGTATTGTAATTGTACTGTCTCCCTTATATTGTAAAGCGCTGCGCAAACTGTTGGCGCTATATAAATCCTGTATAGTAATAATATATGCAGTAAAGCATGCTCGATATACTCACTATGGAACCCAAGGGGTTAATCCTCCGCACTGTGTAAAAATGCTGTTTGATCCTGACTTCTCTGATCCTCCCCTTCTTTCAGTACACCCCTCTTATCTCCTAAGACATATGTTGTGGAGACATTCTGTACATGCTCAGTTGGTGTGTATTGCTAGAGAGGGGTTTTTTTCTTGGGAGAGCTCATGTGATCAGCACAGGGCCAATCAGCACTGTCCAGACAGAGGCCATCTTCCTAGAGCAGAAAGAAAACTACTACTACAAGCTTTAACCAGTGCTCTGCTGGACTCAAGACTGCTTGTCACGGCGTGCCTGCTCCTCTGTAGGAATCCCTCCACCCCCATCCTGGTGCCTGTGTCCACTCACACACCCCCCTTCTCATCCTGTAGCGGCCTTTGAAGTTGAGCCACACAGGATGAGAAGTGTCAGGTCTCCCCCCTGCCACTGTCACTTCCTCCCATCCTGCGCAGCCGAATGGAAGATGACCCCCCCGTGGCGGCATTCACACCTCTCCGGCCATACAGGTTCTGGAGCAGGGCCGCTGCACACCCCCCCGGCGGGAGCAGCGCGGGCACGAAGTTTCCCGCGCCGAAGACAAAGGCCGCGCTCTCGAGAGTGCAGCCCGTGTCAAGGGGGCATGCCTCGTTAACCCAACGCTGGGCCGTCCATTGCCGGGGCAACCGGGAAGTGTCCTGCGCCGGCTCAAGAAGGCCGGCGCGTGAACCCGGCGGGTGCGTGTGTGCTCAATCCCTGCTCGGGACAGAGTGCTGTGCGGGGTCTGCGCTGAGGCCAGACCCCACAGCCAAGAACCTGCCGAGCCCCTGCAAGCCTGCTGTGTCCCTACCTGTTGAAGCCTGCTGTGTCCCTACCTGCTGAAGCCTGTGTCCCTACCTGCACAAGCCTGCTGTGTCCCTGTCTGCTGATCGCTGGTCGTCCCTGGAACGCCGAGTGCCGTGAGGTTCCCTGTCTGCTGATCACTGGTCATGCCTGGAACGCCCAGTGCCGTGAGGTTCCCTCTCTGCTGATCGCTGGTCGTCCCTGGAACGCCAAGTGGCCGTGAAGTTCCCTGTCTGCTGATCGCTGGTCATCCCTGGAACGCCGAGTGCCGTGAGGTTCCCTGTCGCTGCTGATCGCTGGTCATCCCTGGAACGCCGATTGAGTGCTGTGAGGTTCCCTGTCTGTTGATCGCTGGTCGTCCCTGGAACGCCGAGTGCCGTTAGGTTCCATGTCTGCTGATCGCTGGTCGTCCCTGGAATGCTGAGTGCCATGAGGTTCCCTGTCTGCTGATCGCTTTGTCCCTGGAAAGCTGAGCCCTGCGAGGATCTCGGTCCGCTAACCGCTGCTGTCCCTGGAGAGCTGAGCCCTGCGAGGATCTCGGTCCGCTGACCGCTGCTGTCCCTGGAAAGCTGACCGCTGTGAGGGCCGCTGTCCATTGTGGAGTGTCCCTGGAAGCTGTCTGTTGCTGAGTGTCCCTACAAGCCGCCTGCTGCTGAGTGTCTGCAAGCCGCCTCCCATGAGTGTCCCTACAAGCCGCCCGCTGCTGCGTGTCTGGAAGCCACCTACCGTGAGTGTCCCTACAAGCCGCATGTTGCGGAGTGTCCTGGACTGCCCCTATGGTGGGCCCAGATAACCCTTGCCTGAACTGCCCCTATTGTGTACCCAGATTACCCTCACCTGAACTGCCCCTATTGTGTGCCCAGATTACTGCTACCTGGACTGCCCCCGAGTGCTCGGGCCATTGCTACCTAGAGTGCCCTATCGTGGGCCGGATTACAATTATGTTGGGCTCCTCCCCTCTCTTGCCCTTTTTGGGTACCTGGAAGCTACCTTCCTGCCCTGATTGAGTGCCTTCCACAGTTCAATAAAGCTTTGTGTGTTTACCATCTTCTTTGTGTGTTCTGTCCTGCCTACCCTTCCGTCCAACTGCTATATACTGCTGATGAGAATGAGGTATTTAACAGTTTATATTTTCTAAAATAATTGCACATCCATGTTCTGTGTATTGTGGGAGACCAGATATAGTGAATGCAGGGTGCTGGGTTTAGCAACACTTTAAGGGTATAGAAACTTCCAAACACCACTTTAAAGTCTGCGCTTAGACAGATGACCTCTTTTTCTCACTGAGAAACCTGGAGAGCTCTACCCCAAATCTCATAAGCTAGATACATACTCAGTTCTCCCCAACTAAACAATTTATGTATTGAGAACTGAAGCTCCAAATATCAACACTGCCAGCCACAGAACAAATAACATTAAAGTAAACCTTTTTGCAATCAGTAAAAATCAAATTCTGACAATACCTTTGGACATCTTGACTGAAGTGCATCTCCTATTTACTGCTGCTCATGCCAAAACTAAAAGGTGGACTTGGCTTTCCTGATCCTACCAAAAGCCATCAAGCAGTACACTTATCCAGAGTACTAGACTAGTGCAAACATACTTTATTTAAATGCTGGGTAGAACTGGAACAGGATGAACTTGCAGTTCCTCTCCCTGCTTTACCTTGACTATAGAGGAATGTCCCCACTTTGGACAAACATCACCTGCTTTTAGGGGCCACATTATTCACTATCAAAATGTAGAGTATTATTGCACCAGGTAAATCAGCCATCTTCCATGGTTCCTGTACTTGGACAGCATTTACACAAGGTGTACAGGATACACAACTATATCCCTAACTGGTTCAGTTTCAAAGCCTTCCTGGCAACAGGGGGGCTGGCGTTCAATGTCAAATATAACAAACCTTACCAATCTCTCGATAAAGCTCTGGCAAACAATACAGGTTAAACATTTTCTCACCACTTTGGAAGCCAGGAATGTCTTCACTAACATCCAAACATCATTGCCTAGATCAAAATTAATTGCAACATACCCCGTCCACTCACAGCTTTCTTTCTAAATGTAATTTAGGGACCTGGATTGCACTTTCACCAAGGAACAAAGAGATCATACTCTGTTCTTCGCACCAAATCATCCATCTCCTGCAGAGTCCAGGAAAACAGATATAAAGCACCCCTTAAACACACAGCACACCTAACACAACATAGCACCCCTAACATAATACAGCGCCCCTAAAACATAGCACCCCTAACACAACACGGCGCCCCTAAAATAACAGCAGACCTAACACAACACAGTGCCCTTAACACAGCACCCA